ATGGGCCACAGCAACCACTTACCATCAGGTGAACTGTGTACTCGTTTGTCACCCTTATTCTATATTCAAAAAAAGTCTGGCAATCTTGTACCAGTAGGCGAAGTTTAGAACAGCCCGCCACTAGACGTAGTTACCTGATAAGGCATGCAGGAAGTCGATGGATGCAGGTGGCTCAAGACTTTTGTGGCATGCCCTGGAGTAGGCCTACGTTCAGCAGTAGACTTGTGAAGGGCTGTATGAAAAATATAATGAGTTTCTGTCTGCAATAACGAAATAACTGTCTTATACGCGGTAGAGCTCCGCTGCAGCTATAATATGGTTGTAGCACGAATGGGTCGGCTCGACCGGGGATGGGTCACGCCTCTCTCAGAATACCAGCGTGAAATAGCAGTTTAATGTTGCAGTGTTTCGTATGGTGAGTGTAGAGATCCGGAGACCCTTTTTTACTGGAAACGAGGTATTTCATCTTAACCCTCGGGGGTGATAACTGATAACGTATTTGCGTTTTGATTCTTAATCAAGGATAAATGTAGATGTCTATGGGCCACAGCATCCACTTACCGTCAGGTGGACTGTGTGCTCGCTTGTCACCCTTATACTATAAGAAAAAACCGTCTTATAAATGAGAGGAATCATGTGCCCCATCTGTGGCACGTATATAGGCTGTAACTTCACAATTTTATATAAAACTACCGAGCTGCTCCGGCTTGCCCTAGGTAAGATCTATATATAGATACAGCCCGATGACTGACTAGTGTTGTCAGGTGCCAGCGATTTGCGCGGGACGTCCCGATTTTCAAGGTTCTAGTGACACGTCCCGATTCACCCTTGATCGGGACGTCAAATGTCCCGATTTTCACTAACCTTCTTATTCTATACTTTAATACATAATTTTGACAGCAAAAATGATTACATCCGTTAGCTACTACTACATTAAAATATTTTTACTACGACATCGTCTCACCAATCGAAAAAAAAACCCACAAAAGTTTTAGAATTATATTAAAATGAGTGATTTGAAAAATTCAGAGACTGCAAAAAAAACAAATAGTTTCAAAAATCTTATGATTTGCCTAAAACGAAAAAAAACAGTTTTTACGATGTTTGGATGAAAAGTGATTCGGTCATGAGATCAGATCCGAATAATTATTATAAAGCACAAAATTAAAGTAAAGTTACAGCCACAATTTATCGCATTACTCGCATACTGTGATATTTAACAGTGAGCGTTAACCATCTGAGATACCACTGCTCTCAACAAAGCACAAAAGGGCTACAAAAAACTATATTTTGTAGCCATTGTAGATGTCCCGATATGAAAATCAAATCCTCGATTATTTTTACCTTCCGTCCGGAAATTTTACTAGCTAGACCTGGCAACACTATGACTGACAGACAGACAGACGGACAGAGGAGGTAAGCATAGTATAGGGTCCCATTGGTTATCCTTTGGATACGGAACCCTAAAAGGGCCTTCAGTTCTCTACACTCACCATACGAAACACAGCAGTACTAAGAAGCTGCTATTTCAATTATGTGAGAGTGAGGTTCTTCCACGGTCGGACTGACGCATTCGTCATACTTCGAAACTTTGATAACGCGATTTAGGCTTCGGTGCGATTCGCTTGTGACGAGACGACAGCGCCGCCACATCACCCCCCTGCTCAGACCGGAGGTGGATATTGCAGTCCGATAGCTAGTACGTTCTTAATGCAAGTTTTTTTTTATAGGATAGGGTGGCAAAAGAGCACACAGTCCACCTGATGTTAAGTGCTTGCAGCGGTCCATAGACATCTACATCTATCCTCGATTACGATTCAAAATGCAGATGGGTTGTCACCCGTAAGGACTAAGATGGAATGCCTCGTTTCCATTAAAAAGGGTGTCCGATTCTCTACACTCACCATACGAAACACAGCAGCATTAAGCTACTATTTGACGCTAGTATTCTGTGAGAGCGTGGTCCTTCCCCGGTCGAGCCGACCCATTCGTGCTACAACTATACTACTAATATAACTGCAGCATGGCTCTACCACGTATAAAAAGGTGGGAAATGCATCCTGCCGGGCTAGCATGAGCAGGGGATAAAAATTTTATCCACCGATTATATCCACTGACAAGGGATAAAATTATCTTATCCCTATGTCAAAGCTTTATCCACCCTGCGAGCATGGGCCTATGGTGGATATAATATCGACAGTAGATAAACTTATCCCCGCGCATAGATAATATACCATAGTATAAAGCTATAAACTATACTAGCTATAAACTAGTTTTAAGATTAAGTAGATTTACATTAACTTATATTTTCTTTTACCTTTTGTTTATTATATTGCTAAACTGTTCATAATGTTGTTAAACAATATGTCATTTATAATATTTGTTATATTTATTTTAAGCGTATTTCTGCCTTGTTTTTATTTTTTCTATTATTCTAATTCTTTCTTTATTTTCTTTTGTATAATATTTAAGTTAAATATACATTGCTTGTATCAAATCGCAGGTATTACTTCGCTTGTGATAGCATTTATTAAAAAATATGTGTTTAGAATTAAGCCAATTGTGAAACTGGACAATACAGACCATTTGGAGGTGGTGTAACCTCTTGAAGAAATTAAAAAAAAATATATCCCCGCAATTACTGCCATTATAAGAAAATTACAAAATACATCAAAATTGATGTCTACTCTAAGTCACAAAGATTTAATTTTAATTGAAAATGATGAAGCATGAAGAATAAAAATGTAATGATTTCAAACAAAACGAATAAATAATTTTATAATCATGAGTATAGTATATTTAGCAAGCTTTGCTAAAGAATTAACATATTTCTTAATTTAATACTTTGAATTGTAACTTTACTAAGTTTGATAACTTTATTTTAAAACGTTATAATACTTACCTAAAATATAGTATAGACCGATTCTATTATCATTAAATTTGACTTGACCATGGACTCGCTTTGGGTATTGTTGACACAACCTATGTAATTAAATCATGGCATTGAGCTATTACCGGTAGTACCGGTAGGCGTAGTGTAGGGCGACCCCCCACTAGATGGAGTGACGACCTGGTAAGACATGCAGGAAGTCGATGGATGCAGGTGGCTCAGGACCGTGCTTTGTGGCATTACTTGGGGGAGGCCTATGTTCAGCAGTGGACTTGTGAAGGGCTGTAGTGATGATGATGATGATGATGATTGAGCTATTGAGACTTTTTTGGACAAGGTGGTTGTAATAGATGCTTACTTCAATATGCACTGGTAGTCCATCCACAGAATTAATAGGCTTTAAAGCCTCATAGAATTCTTTACACAAATACAAAACAATCTTTAAGCATCCGAAACCGGCGTAGAAATTCTTTGTCGGAGAGTTCCAATAGATTAAGTATTCTGATCACGTATCGATCGCTGATGTAATTCTCTTTCTTGTTTTTCAATTTCTGACACGAAAATGTAGTTGCAATAGGCTCGAGACATCTTTTTTGTATAAAATGGTTTGAAGATAAACTTAAACCCACGTCCGCGAAAGAGGATAAAATTGTCCCTTTCAAATGTCAAAAAGGGATAATTTTTTCTCTTTCCCTTGGCCCCATGCTACGGACGGGGAGATATATGTCCACTCGTTATGTCAAACGGGGATATACTATAGAGATAAGATAATTTTACCTCTTGTCAGTGGATATAATCGGGGGATATAATTTTTGTCTCTTGCCCATGCTCGCAGGGTGGATAAAACTAAGCAAGGGATAAAAATTATATCCTCTCTCCGGGGATATATTCTCTCCGGCTCATGCTAGCCCGGCTGTGTGCGTAAGGGCAAGTAACGCCGGTGCGAACGATATGTCGGTATGTAATACGGGGTATAGTACTACGCACTTGCAATATATGTTATCTATCACCAAAATGTTTCCTCTGCATATCAATGACATGTTGCAAACCGGTAACATTCATTGCTATGCGGTTGACAGCACTGGTGATGCTCTATACACCGGCCGTGTCAATATTTCTCGGGAAAACGTCGCCGAGTACCGGGACAAACTCGTGTCTGAAGTCGTGACATTGTTGAATCGTACTATATCTAGTACAATTCAATGAAATGAAATGAACGATTTTTATTCAATATAGATTATTGCACAATACTTATTGAAAGTAATTTTTTATTTATTACCGGTTCTGAAACAATCCCAAGAAGACACAAATTTGCGCGTTTACCGCTTAAAATAACCGCTTCGTCGTATCTCCTCATCCTCAGTTTCAAGGCACTCCCCTTGTTGCCTCAGCCAGTATCGGAATCCTCGACATCAACATTTCGAGTGACGGGCAGTTTCGTGGTCACTTCGAAGAGAAGGCGAAATTGGTCTCTAAAAAGCTTGACGTGCTCAGCAGAGCGGGACAGTATTTCATGCCGGCACACCGACTACTGCTTTACAAGACGCAAGTTCGGCCGCACATGGAATACTGTTCCCATCTCTGGGCCGGGACTCCCCAGTGCCAGCTCGTTCCAATTGACCTTATCCAGCTCAAATCAGCTCCAATCGTCGACGACCGAGTCCTCTACAATCGAAACGATACACTGGCCCTGCGAAGAGATGTTGCATCTCTTTGCATTTTCTATCGCATCTACCACGGGGAGTGCTCTAAATAATTGTTTGGATTAATTCCAGCCGCCAAATTTCACGAGCGCACATCGCGACAAATCTCACAATACCATCCACGACATCTGGATGCTTGGCGGTCCATGTACGTTTTACTAAATTTTCTTCCTCGTACGACCCTTCTGTGGAATCGTTTACCAATCGACTTAGAGACCTGCAAGAAAAGAGCTCACTCCTTTCTAAAAGGCCGGCAACGCACCTGCAATTCCCCTGGTGTTGCGGTTGTTCATGGACGACGGTAGTTCTTTTTCATTAGGTGAGCCCGCATGCTCGATGCTCGTTTGCCCACACTTATATTAAAAAAAAAACGTAAGTATAATCTATTCTAGTGCATTAAAACTTACCAACACTTTGAACTTCTTCCCGCACTGCTCGAACGTACACTTGTACGGCCTGATGTCGACGTGCGAGCGCATGTGCATCTCCAAGTTGGACTTGCTGTTCTTGACCACACCGCAAATTTCGCACTTGCACACGTAGCGACGCGCGTGCACCACGTTCTGGGGAAGATTATCGAGAATTGTGACGGTTTGGTAGATGAGATTACTTAATTAGGTTTAATGGACTGCACTGGAATTCAAAATCCCCTAAAACGGTATCTTATCAGTCATAAAATTATACCAAAGTTAAAGTTACAGCCTATATACGTCCCAATGTTGGGCACAGGCCTCCTCTCATTTCTGAGAGGGTTTTAGGGCAAGGAAATGTTCACCGCGTTGCCCTAATGCGTGTTAGCGAACTTCACATGTTCTTTTTTTATATATTTATTCTTTACTACATCCTTAAACAAAAGAATACAAAGGGCGGACTTAATGCCTTGAGGCATTCTCTACCAGTCGACCCATGGAGTGGTGAGAATTTGACGTAGGTGTGGGTGTGGCAATATAGAACAAAAGAACACAAAACAAATAATAATTAACTACATAACATATACATACTACTAATAAAGAAACTATACATATTATATGACCCATTCATACATATATAAGTAAAGTAAAGTTAAGTAAAGTTACAGCCTATATACGTCCCACTGCTGGGCACAGGCCTCCTCTCATTTCTGAGAGGGTTTTAGGGCAAGGAAGTGTCCGCCGCGCTGCCCTAATGCGTGTTGGCGAACTTCACATGTCTTCGAAATAATTTTTTCTTATTTCTCAGACATGCAGATTTCCTCACAAAGTTTTCCTTCACCGCCGAGCACGTGGTAAATGAGCACTTAAAATTGCAATTAACAATTTCATTGGTGCCGGCGGGGATCGAACCCGGTTTGCTCGCGTATTGTGAAATTTACAGCGAACGCTAACCATCTGAGCTACCAAGGCTCTTTTTCATATTATATATTCATACAAATATATAAATACATGCATATACATAATAACATAATTAGTTCATACAAATGACTATGAATATATACGTATGCTTAGCAATAACATTATTTATTTTTTCTTATTTCTCAGAGATGCAGGTTTCCTCACGATGTTTTCCTTCACCGCCGATGACGTGGTAAAATTACACCAAGACAGCAATAAACTACTCACGGTACTATTAAACAACCACCCAAGATCAGCAAAACGTTAACAGCTCCTGGTAGCTTCATGTACATGGCAGAATACACTAGTAATTTTATTATACATGGTACGCTATAAAGTAGTCCCGTTTTTAGTTTTTTGGGAAATATATGCGCATCACAATAACGAAGACATGTACCCTCCTCTTTTTAGCCGACTTAAAAAAGGAGGAGGTATTTAATTCCATTGTATTATTTCTATGTGTGTTACCTCAGAACTTTTTTTTAGGTAAAAGGATTTTGATGTTTTTTTTTTTCATTTTTACTAACACGCTGCATCTATATTATAGTTGCAGCACGAATGGGTCGGCTCGACCAGGGTAGGACCACGCTCTCACAGAATATCAGCGTATAACAGCAGCTTAACGTAGCCGTGTTCCATATGGTGAGTGTAAAGATACGGAGACCTTCTTTTACTGTAAACGAGGCATTCCATTTTAGTCCTCAGCGGTGACAACGTATCTGCGTTTTGATTCTTAATCGAGGATAAATGTAGATGTCTATGGGCCGCAGCAACCACTTACCATCAGATGGACTGCGTGCTCGTTTGTCATTCTTGTCCTATAAAAGAAATGCTATCGTTGATATTTTTAATCGCGATATATCAATACTTGAAACTTACTTTAGAGTATCGAATTAGTAACAATTTCGATATATTTCATAATAAATAGATCCTTGCATTCTCTTGGCGCATCGTTTTTCACAGTAAGACCATAGACAAAAAATCATTCATTTGCTTTTGTTTTGTCTATGGACTTATTGCATACGTAAATTATTTAAGAAGAGTGTTTTTTGAAAAGTATCAATCATATCTTGTGTTGAAGCTCATCAAAGGGGAAGGCAACAATGAGTCGGCTTCTTGCAATTTGTGCAGCAAGTCGTACGAAACTTGTGGTAAGACAACCATTTTGACCACTCATCTAAAAATTAAGCATCATTTTGCTCATTTGCAAATGATAAAAATGCAGAGTTCGGCGAAACAACTAAATCGTCTAAAACATGACGATATATCGATATTTATCATTCGATAATTGTCGATACTGTTTAAAAACAATGATACGATAAATATCCATTTTTTTTCACTTGCCCCATCCCTAATATAAACTATATAAAATAACTCACGAGATGAGTGCTGAGAACGCTCTTGGATTTGAACATTTTGCCGCAGATCTCGCAGGGAATTTTGTGAACGTTCACTCCGTAGTGTTTCTCATCCGTGTGCTCCTTTAGGCGGCTCTTGACCTTGAAGCTGGAATGTAAGAGCTGTTAAAAGATGATGTTTATTGAATATGAATACTGACAGTGTGATATCATGAACGCTAGCAGATGGATGCAGGTGGCTCAGAACCGTCCTTTGCGGCATTTCTTGGTGAAGGCCTATGTTCAGCAGTGGAATTGTGAAGGGATGTAGCGGGAAAAGGTGTATGCTGTGGACCATAGACACCTAAATCTATGCTTAAGCATTAAAATGCAGATGCGTCACCCCTGAGCACTAAAGATCGAATGCCTCACTTCCAGTAAAAAGGGCCTCCGGTTCTCTACTCCACCATACGAAACACAGCAGCATTAAGCTGCTATTTTACGCTGACCTTTTGTGAGTATGTGGCACCTCCCCGGTCGAGTCGACCTATTCAATGATCCGAATGATCTGAATGGTTTTTAGTGTAGGGTATTAAAGCCCGAAATGATCCATTTGAATGATCGACCCTAATGTACCGGTACGCGTGACGAATGTACTAGAATGATTCGGTCACGAGAAATCAATGATTGACACATGTCTAATGGACAGCTACGGTATAACTTCTCCTATGAGGTAATTTCTGGAGGAATCTTATGTTTCAGCAGTGGACCTTTGTGGGCTGTAATTGATGGATGGAAGAATGGAAACTCCACAAGCCGCGGCAGTTCAGGAGTGAAGTTCTCGCTACAATTTCCCAGTGCGCGAGAAATCCGGATTCGTTCCCCGCTGGCACCAATGTAATTTAAATTGTAGGGAACAAATAATTGTTAATTAGTTTTTTTTATTTATTATATAATAACACAGTTTAATTATTTATATTATCTTGCGTCTTAAATTATTAAACCCATAGTGTAAGTGATGTTCTGAAACACAGGTAGTCAACATAGTAGGTAGCTAATATTATAAACTTGAGTTTTCAATTTTTCTTTTGTTGATTCTAAATTATTAAGCTACAAATAGTTTTCATTTTCATCATTGCATGTTATTTTTATTAGAGTTATTGTTACTTTATTTAATTGTAATCATATTTATTCCTGAATGTAAACTTGTGTAATTGGAAATGATATAAAAACTATTTATTTATTTAATTACTAATTGTGAAGTGAAGGAAAACATCGTGATTAACCTCATTTTTATATTTTTTCCTCAAACATGCTGAGAAGAAAAATATTTTTAAGACGTAAAATCCTAACATACTCCGGAGCAGGGTAATCATACAGAGTTATTTTGCAATAATCGGCCATATTTGCAGTGAAAAGTTCAGAATAAGTGATATAGGCAAATGGGGAATGGTCCTTTTTGTCTTTTAAATACAAAATGCGTGCAATGCACATTCGTAAGGGTCATTCTAATTCGGATAATTTCAAATAAAAGTAGAAGCCTCATTTACTCGAATTTAAAAACTCCAATAACGGTATATCATTATTTATATATTTGTACTTAAGTTTAAAATTTGGCTACTCTTTGATAAATAACTCTCTATACTATAAAATACACAAAACTCCTTATGGCAACCATTTACAGCATATAAAATATTGTTACGAGCTTGAGGTTCGTGACAATAAAAACTGACGATTGAATTACCAAAATCGAAACTTTAATTATCGAACACTAATTACAACTTAAAACACACTAATCATAACTTAAAACACACTAATCATAAAACACATTTCGCAATTGCATAGCTTCGAATTATTCGCTTGAATTGCCAATTCAATACTGACCCGGTCGCGGTTGTTACCGGCCTTATATAGGGCCTGTTCTACTGAAACATCTAAAATGTTAAAGTACATGTCGGTCCCGACTGACTAGGTGTAGAAAGTTCTAGTACGGAATTCTCTAAAAAGCTCTCCTAGTTCTGCCAATCGATACTAGATGCCGCTAGTGGCCATGTAGCAGACATTAATTATGGCGCGCAACAATATTTTATACGCGTTTTATACGTGGTAGAGCCACGCTGCAGCTATATTATGGTTGAGCCGAATGGGTCAGCTCGACCGGGGAAGGACCACGCTCTCGCAGAATACCACCGTAAAATAGCAGCTTAATGTTGCTGTGTTTCGTAGTGTAGAGATCCGGAGACCCTTTTTTACTGGAAACGAGGCATTCCATTTTAGGCCTCAGGGGTGACAACGCATCTGCATTTTGATTTTTAATCGAGGATAGATGTAGATGTCTATGGGCCACAGCACCCATTTACCATCAGGTGGACTGTGTGCTCGTTTGTCTCTCTTGTTCTATAAAAAAATCATCATCATCATTGCTTAACCACTACCACTGTCATCACGAAAAATTTAGAGAAATAAAATTACATTAAATTTGGCCTCTCGGTACATTTTACGAAAATTTAATATATGTACACAAAAACAAAAATAGTTTTATTAAAAATATTAAGGAACATTCTGTAAATACTAGGAACAAGCACAAGTTAGTTATACCCGTTACTCGACTCCACAGTCAGTAACTCCTTCATGGGGCGAATTCCAAAATAAACAACATTTTAAAACGTACTAGAAAATTAAAAAAAAATAACTAATTTAAAAGGAAATGTCGATTTCGCGGAAATAAAAAGAATAAATCTACTTAAGTGATAAGAAATATTGTATAAAAGCCCATACTTCAGAAGTCGACTATTACTTTTGTTATTTTAACCAACTTCAAAGGAGGAGGTTCTCAATTCAACCGTATTTTTTGTGTCTTACCTCACAACTTGTGGGTGGCTTTAGGTGGACCGATTTTGATGATTCTTATTTTATTTGAAAGCTGGTACTTCTCATGAGGTTCCATATAAATTCGATCAAGATCAGACCAGTAGTTTAGCAGTTATCCTTAATAATGCGTATTTAATTCACTTGGACTACATTGATGACGTTCTCATTTTATTTATATTAAAGTCGGTTGTAAGAAATTTTTTATTTTACCACTTGTTTACCTACAATTTTAAGGGCGTCTGTACAGTTGTATCAAAAACTTCATTCCCCATTTACCACATTTGGGGTGAAATGTTTTCTCCAAATTTATGTGGAATCATGCCTGAAGAATTGAATAAATATAACCTATTAAAAAAAGAGTCGTCAATATCAAACGTACAAAAAAATCATACAGTCGAATTTAGAACATCCTTTTTAGAAATCTGTAACCAAAGGGTAACCAACGGGATCCTACTAGGCCTCCGTCCGTCGGTCCAATGTCTATATGTCTGTCAGCGGGCTGTATCTCATAATCCCTAACAGGTACATAGACAATTGTTAAAAGTTGCCACTATAATAACAAGCAATGAAAGTAAGTACATTAAAAATTAAAGGGGTCTCCCCTACTATAAACATGTTTTACGATGGTACGGAAATCCCTTCATGTACGAGTTCGACCCGTTCTTTGTCGGTTATTTGAATTGACTAAAATGGGCGTGGTAAGTTAACCCAGTTAACCCTTAACTTGATACCGTATCTAATAATGCACATATTCTAAAAAAAAATATTGGCAAATATTTTAGCGATCTGGGACTAAAATTATATTCTATTTAGTTTATGAAATCCTTCTTTTCGGCAATAAAAATATTATTTATTATGTATGGCAACATTTGAAGTAAGTAGATCGCAAAACGGTGGAGTATGCGCATGCGTCTACGAGTTATAAGGTAAGAGTTGATTAAAATCCTATCAAAATATAGTTGCTACTACAGATATATGTGACAATTAAGTAATTGATTGTACATTGTTTTGGTTATGTAAAAGATTTTGATCGAACAATGATATTTTCTATCTAAAATATTACGGTCAATGTTCATGTATCTACAAATGCACATCACCAAGATCCGGTACTATGACCTGACTTTTGGAGTGTGCACTATAGGACACATTGCCATACTTACAACACTAGAGAGTACTTTTTACTGTGTGCATTTTCAGACACATTACCAAGTACGAAACGTTACGGAAATCGTATTTATTTATCTGTATATGTAGGTATGAATGTTTTTGTTTACTTTTTAGGCCGGTACAAAACTTACAAAGTGAAGACGACTACAGGGAGGTATTAGTCCCAGACTAAAATGCGGAGGATTTTACGAGGCACGTGAGTTTGTTGAATAATTTATCCACGTCTAGTGTTGCTGCTTCTCCAAACAATGTAATAGTCCCAGCGACACCTGCACCGATCTCTTCAATAGCTAATACTCTAGCTAGCTGTACACATTTATTATCCGTACCATCACCATGAAATGCTACTCGATCCAGCAAAAGAGTTCACCTAGTCAAAAAGACGGTAGTTAAAAAAAACTTGAAGTTAAGTGAACAACTGCAAGATACACTGCTGAAATCACTGATAAAATGTTCAACGAACGTTCTGACACAAAATCATTGTTAGAATATGTCAAACTTTGTGATTGTAATTTGTGTAATTTATATCATATGCAAATAAAGGGCACGACCATAAATTTGACTTGGGATGAAATAAATGATTATATTGCTATTTATATTCTCATGGATGTCGTACATTTTCCAGCTTATACGGATTATTGGTCTCAGATACAGAAAAATAGCAGATATCATGATACTGAAAAGATTTTAACTGATCCGGCATATTGAAATAATACTAATTTTTACGGAATTTATCGCGTATATTTAACTTTTTTACCCGACGTTTCGAGAGTTTTACAGCACCCATAGTCACGGGAAGGACTGAGATGTTCAACGTCCAGCTGTCATAGTTAACCGCGGTTACCATAGATTAAAATTTAACTGTTCCGATCTACACAGTATGAACTTATGGTATCATGGAGTCTTGCAGTTGTATGCTTGGGTTGGGATTTAATTTTATTTATTATAGGATCCCAAGCAGATGGTAGCACCCAGCCATCTTCTCTATTGAAATTAGGATGTTTTTTGATTTCAATAGCCTCGCGAATCATCCTTGGAAGGAATCGGTGTTCTTTAGCGAGGATTTGTGGTCTATCAAATCTGATGTAGTGACGGGGGCGATCCTGTACATGTTCACAGACTGCAGACTTC